CCCCCCCCCCCCTCCCCATTTGTACTAAACAGTATTTGTGTATTTTGGTTTTTTTGGCACAGGCTTTTGTGTGAATATTATTTTTTTCTCTGGCGCCTTTAAATGGAACCTGTAGCCAGAAAGTACATGGAGCCAAAAGCTTTGCCACTTTCAGTCTTTGCCCTGTGCTAGGTACACAGATCAATAGTCCTTATTCATCTATGATTTTAGTAGTTGCATGCTTGTCATGGGTCATTGGCTCAGTGCTGAGACAAATGCCAGACAACAAGCATTTTCAGGTCAGGAGCAGCAGCCCCATATTGCAGATTAATGGTTTCTTTTAAAATACATAAATACATTGAGAATTTGCTAAGCCTGGAGCAGACATAAACCGGAGAAGCTGTGCAGGGCAACTACTCAGTTTTTCTTTCATTTTCAAAGGTTAAATGAACAAGCTGAAGATAGAAGCTGATTGGTTACTGTGCACAGTTGCTCCAGATTCTGTCTGCCCCGGTTTTACTAAATTCTCCCATTATTGCTTTTTCACCAAGCAATTTTGCAGAATCAGTTGTACTTCTGTTTAAAGCAGCATGAGAAACTATAATGCAGAGGAAGTTCTTCCTCCTTTCGTCACCTTACTATATGTGTCTTCAAGTGTATGAGATAATTGCCCGCTGGTTTAAAGGAGAACTATGAGGTGAGTGCTTTTCACTCACCTCATAGTTCTAGCCAACCTGTGACAATGAGACTGTCGCAGGTCGGCTTAGTAGATCGGGAATTGAGTGAACACATACCTGCGTTCGCTCACCTCTAGATCCTGTCACGGCTCTCTGCCGTGACGGGAGGGGCTGGATTCCCCGCTCCGGTCCGCCAGCACTGACTGGCGGAAAGGGAGGGGGCGGGTATAGCTGGCTCTGCCTCTAGAGAGATGTCAGTCACGCAGCTGGGCGGATCAGACATAATTGTCGGGATCCGCTTCAGCTGCGGCGTCTCAGTATACCGCGAGCAGCAGCTTGCGCTATACTGCGGCGTCTCCGTATACCCCAAGCTACAGCTCGCGGTATACTGAGCCTAGGGTGATGGGAGGACGCTAGTTTGTGTCCTCCCGTTACCCTGTGGAGAACTATGGGGAAAAGCCTTAACCCCATAGTTCTCCTTTTTAAACGGTTACATTTAAATATATAGAATTGTGCCCTCTTTCAAACACACTTCCACCATATCATGCCATAAAGTAGCATCTGTGGTTTTTGGAGAAGGGAAGGTCCACTTTAGGAGTCCTGAACTGGGTTGTGAAAGGGTAAAATCAGTTTGCACCAGTGGTTAATGAAGTGTTCAACTTTCAAGGAATTGGTCTGCTCCAAACATTGAAACCAACATCTGGTCTGCACCGACTAGGGCAGACCATAAACCTAATATGTAGGTGCTAGAAGTGCTTATGTTTGCACCTCCCATCTGGCAAAGGGCATAGCTTGGCAATAGAGACGGGTCATAAATTGACTATCATACAAAAAGATTTTAGGGCTTGTGTACTTTGTAGGGTTTAGATCAGGGCTGGATAAATCGCTGTTACCATGACAATGTAAAATTTCACTAGCAACCAGATATTTGAGTATTTTAGATGGTTTTCTTGGTTGCAGTTCCGCTGTTTGCTACTAGATGGTGCCTGGTAAAAATGAGATTTCCTCAATTACGGGACACTCCCAATACAATCTTTATTACAATCTACCACTGTGTACATAAATCTAGGGCTGCAATCAACTAATCGATAATGACCATTTGTCAACTACTCTCAATATTGATTAGTTGGTTCGATCCCATAGCTCTCTCCTCCTTGCTGGGAGGAGGACACAGCAAGAAATGGGT